ATCATCTTGACAGTAATTGAACATTTCTATTGGGTTACTTGAAGATTTATCATGCCAATGTACGTTGTAAGAAGAATCTTAAGAAATTCAAGCAAATATATTCTAGTACGTTCCCAAAGTCAGCAATTCTATTGTTACTTGGGAGTTAAGAACTGAGTTGTACATTCATTTAAGAATTATGAACAACTTGCTGTTAAATTTCACTACAAGCAATGGGATTGTATCACAATTTAACTAGATTAAAGTCCTGTACATTTAGAACTTTTCATAAAAAATGTAAATGTAAATTTATGATTGTGAATATTTTTATTTTTGTAAAGTGTTCTACAATTATTTCTTTCTTGTTTTTCTATGATTAAAGGACAAAATTTTAAATGCCCAAATCAGTTTATTAAAACAGAATCCATGAGTATCCTATATATGTTCTTAAGCTAAATCTGGGTTGGGTTTGTTCAGCTCTTTTGCTGAAAATAGAGCCTGATCCTATTCACACACTGTATTCTCAACTGTAAACCTATTTATTATTCTGGCACAGACTGCAGCCAGTTTTAATTATTACAACAGGAGTTTCTTCTGAGTACACAAACTTAGGACTGTGCTATTATTTAATTTGTATCTCATCCTACGATGAATGAGGGTTGTTGTTTTTTTTAACAANTACATTGGCATTAGGTATTTCTGTTCAGCATAGAAACCATATCCCCAATACTAGAAATATTAGACACCTGACTAGTTTTTGTACATCTATATGAACTCTATGATCTCTTACCATCATAACAGAAGCTTTACTTAAAATAGGCCAAACTCTAAGGTAAAGGAGATCTTTTGAACTTTTTATCTGAAATCTGAGCAAAGGCTACTTCAGAAATAGTAGAATCTCTTTCTTTGCCACATATGGGACAATTCATTTGCATAAATTGAGGGCTATGCAGCTAAATCTTCCCCTGTTCAAAGCAAGGGTGCTGTGTCATTTCTGTGATTTGATAATCAGAGGCCATGGACTTTAGTAACGACTGTGAAAACTCAAAATCTGAGTCCAAACAAGGAGTGCAAACACTGCAACTTAGACAGACTTTGTTTGCTAGATTATGAGTACAATTTTTTTTAACCTGTAAGAGCCACACAGCTTATCCATCAGTAGTTTGTGACTTTTGAGCACTTCTCATCCCAAATCAGAGTATTCAATTTGGGAATTGTATTTGGTCCCACATGTGGGACCACACGTGTAAGGTACAGCTTAGTTAGGTTGATTCATTAAGATTCTCAGAACCTGAAATCTGTTTTCTTATAGTCCCAGGTACTGTACTAGTTCTGGCTCAGGTACTGGTTTAATTATGTTCACAGCCCATTTGATTATCTCTACTTTATTTACAGTTTTGTTTTGTCTGTGCTTCACAGGTTGGACTACCTAGATAAGAGTAAAAAGTTTGAAGATCGTCTAAAAGAACTCAAGACTGAAATCCATGCTCTCAAAGTTGAAGAGAAACACGGCGGGCTTCTTTCTCATTGGAACATAATCCTTGACTCTTTGGACCATTCATCAGAGAAGGAATATAAGGTTCCCATACTGTCAAGCATTTCTTTATTAAATTTGTAACAAATGCATACATTATTTTAGCACTCTTTCATGAGTCAGCTAGCGGTATCTCCCAGGCACTTGCAAGCTTGGTTTAAAAACAATGACTTTTCTTACTAATGTGGCCCTGGATCTATGGCCGAAATATTTAGGACTGTCATAATGATTCCAGCGATTAAGACTGTGGACAATAAAAAATGAGAATAGGAATGGGTTTCACCTTTACTGAATGAAATTAATAAATATAGTCAAATAAACTTCAATACTGGCTACATTTTAAAAAGTGTAATAACTGCTGGTATGTAGTGTTGGAAAAAGCTTTCTTTGTTGAGTGATTACCCAGTTTCTCTGAAAAGAAGCCCCCCCCCCTGATAATAAGCCCAATCGGGCTTTTGAGCACGTGCTAAAATAAGCCCTCCCCTGAAAATAAGCCCTCCCCTAAAATATTGCAACGCAGCAGCTGGCATGAACTGACCATGCTTGTCACCTCCTGTACTTCAAAAATAATAAGTCCTCCCCAAAAATAAGACCAAGCGCTTATTTTGGGGGTCAAAAGAAAATAAGACTCTGTCTTATTTTTGGGGAGGACTTATTATTTTTGAAGTACAGGAGGTGACAAGCATGGTCAGTTCATGCCAGCTGCTGCGTTGCAATATTTTAAGGGACGGCTTATTTTCAGGGGA